GCTTCTTATAAATGCTGCTTCCTACGTTATTGTTTACCTCCCCCATCCACCCACAGAATTCTCTCGAACCTGGCCACCATTGCGGAAACATATACAAAGGATACAGTACTTCCAGTGTGTGAACACTCTCCGTAAGATAACCCTTGTTGCTAGCTCACTAATACGCTCCTTGTAGACTTGCATACTTCTCCTGTGCTCCCAGGCATGCCGCCAGCCAGAGAAACATTGCTGAAGCACATCCCCCATCCACCCACAGAATTCTCTCGAACCTGGCCACCATTGCGGAAACATATACAAAGGATACAGTACTTCCAGTGTGTGAACACTCTCCGTAAGATAACCCTTGTTGCTAGCTCACTAATACGCTCCTTGTAGACTTGCATACTTCTCCTGTGCTCCCAGGCATGCCGCCAGCCAGAGAAACATTGCTGAAGCACACAAACTTGGTGATGTTGTTGAGCTAGCTCTACAATAAGAGACACAAGTTACAAATTATCAGCTCTCTGCTCCTGCATTGTTTGTGTCAGGAGGCAATGATGTGCAAACTCTAGGTCCTCAAGTAACCAAATTTTCAGTACCAGCAAGGGATAATGAGAATTTTACCAAGAATTTTACCACCAGCTATTACCTGACATTGTTTTGGTTATTCAAGAAATCCTTGTGGGGACTGATATTAGCTCTGAAAATGGCTGCATGCTTCTTCCTTTCAGGTATCCCAACCAGAGTACTCGCTACAGAGTGTAAGTCTTGGTCAGAAGGGCAATAAAGTGTTTCCTTTCTAAGACCATATCTACCCTCTCTCCACAATAAGGCAACAGTAGGTTTTTTTCTGGATGCACCAGTACACAATTCACACAATCCTCACTAGCCAAGGCCACAGCTCTTCAGGCCCTGAACTACCAATCAGAAGCATCAAAGTGTCTCCTAAAAGCGAAAATGTATCAATTTTCCTACAGTGGCAATGAGTTGTTTTGATTCTGAGGCACTATTCTGTTCCATCTCTGCATTCAAATATAGTATCCACCAACAAAAAGTGGAATAAGGACCAGCAGGAGAATTCTAGACCAGCCAGCTTACTTTCAGTACCCAAAATGAAAATGGACCAAACAATCAAATTGCAAGCATCTAGAAGAAAACAAGATAAGTAACAGTCAACCTGAATTTGTCAAGGACAAATCATGTCACACTAAGCTACTATTCTTCTTTGAAGAGATAACAAGCTTTATGGCCAGTGGGAAAGCATATCAGATGTCATATCTCAACATTTGATACTGTCAGCACCTCAAACGAACTAAGGAAATATAGGGTAGACAAATCTATTATAAAGTTGGTAGACAACTGAGAGGACAGCTCAATTGTGAGCCAATGATAACTAAAGGTATATGGGGGTCCTGAAGACATCTGTCGTGTGTGTGGTTCTATTCATAAATGATTTGGATAATGCTATAGCAAGAGTATACTTGTAAAATCTGCAGATGATACCAAGCTAGGAGAGGTTGCAAGCCTTTTGGAGGACAAGATTAAAATTCAAAATGATCTTGAAAAACTAGAGAAATGATCTGAATGGAATAGGATGAAATTCAATAAGGACCAATGGAAAAAACTCCACTTGCAAAGGAATAATTGTACAAATTAAAAAAGTGGATATGACAGCCTAGGAAGGAGTACTGCAGAAAAAAATCAGGAGAAGATAGTGGCTCACAAGCTAAAAATGGGTCATCAATGTAATACTGTCCCAAAAAAAGTGAACATCATTCTGGGATATACTAGCAACAGTGTTGTACGCAAGACACAAGAGGTAATTCGATCCACCCCACTTAGCACTGATAAGACCTCAGCTAGAGTACTGTGTTCAGTTCTGGACACTATAACTCAGGAAAGGGCTAGAAAACGTGACCTATGAGGGAAGATTTAAAAAACTGAGACTGTTTAGTGTGGAGGACAGAAGTGGTGAAATGGGGGAACATGCTAACACAACCTTTTATATACTTGTAAACTGTTATTACAAGGAGGCAGATGAGAAACTGTTCTCCTTACCCATCAAGGACAGGACAAGTAGTAATTAATTTAAATTACAGTAAGGAAGTTTTAAACATTAGGGAAAACTTCTTAAGTAGAAGGGCAGTTAAAACACCTAAACAAATTACCTAGGGATATTTAAAACCTCCAGTGATGGAGATTCCACAAAATAGGTTAGACAAACCCCTGTCAGAGCTAGTCTAAATACTTCGTTCTGTTTCAGTACAGCAGGCTGAACTAAACCTATTGAGGTCCCTTTCAGTCCTATATTACTACGATTTTCACTTACTGTCCTGATGCTTTTTTTTTCTTTGAAGTTGCAAGTGCTCCAACCAGGCCTTCATGCATCTTCTCAGCTCCCAGCGCTGATGATGATTCACCGCCCAGGCCTCCTTCTGCTTGATTTGCTGGATGTGCAAATATAGCTCTATCCACTGTTGCCAGGCCTGACAGTACAAATTAGAAAAAAAGTGAGGAGAGGGTCAATCAAGAGTAAGCAGAAGGAAGTGAAGGTGTATTGAGGGCATAGGGAAGAACGGAGGAAGAAGAAAAGAAAGCACAAAAGCAACCGAGAAGTAAAACATATCAAATAGAGACCCAGAGACAGAAATAAAAAAGGAGCTATGGAGAATGAAGTTTTCATGAAGCAATCATTTATTTTCAGTTGACATTTCCAGTCTATCTAGGACAGCAGTCTCCAACCTTTTTATACCCAAGATCACTTTAAATCTCAGAACAAGCCAAGATCTACAGTCCCATCCCTCCCCCACGACCTCGCCCCTTCTTTGAAGCCCCACCCTCTGTTCTCCTCTTCATGACTTGCTATCCCCAGCCTTTATACACTATCAGGGTACAGCTACACTGCTGCTTTTTTTCCCCGATTCTTCCGTAGGAAGAGTTTTTTCCAACATTTGGCCTGTCTAGACTAGGCCACATGTCAGAAAAACTCCTTCTTTCGGAAGTCCCCTTATTCCTTGTAGAATGAGGAATACAGGGGTTACCGAAAGAGCGTGTTTGTTCTTCCCCTTTTTTTTTTTTGTGGAAGAGCAAACACGTCCCTGAATGCAGAAGAGTTTTTCCAGGATCTCTCTGGAATCCTGGAAAAACTCCTGAAGTCTAGCCATACCCTCACTGGGTTGAGACAGGATGTGTGGGCTCTGAGGTGAAAATGAGGGATTTAGGTGTGGGAAGGGGAGAGAGGTGCAAACTCTGGGAGGGAATTTGGATGCAGGAGGAGGTGGAGAAGGGGATGCTGGCTCAGGAGGAGGCTCCAGGCTGGGGAGTGTTGGGGTCAGGTGGAGGGGTGGGGTACTGAGCAAGCCACAGGCTTTTGGGCGGGGGGGGGCGGGGGGGTTGTGAGGGGCTTAGGGTAGGGAGGCTGGGAGTATGATGGGCTTAGGACACAGATTTGCAGTGTGTGGATGGTGCTGGAGTGTTGTGGCAGAAGACGGAGGATGTGGGGGTGCAGGAGTTTGGGGATGTGAGAGACTCAAGACAGGGGATTCCAGTGTATGATAGGCTCAGATATGGGGCCTGGGGGGATGCAGGAGTGTTATGATGCTGCGGCCAGATGGGGGCTTGGCCCCACATGGGGGTTTGTTGATCAGGCTTCATTTTTAAATAAAATATTATGTCAAACAAAAAGTTTCAGCATTGTCTTTATTTGAGAGAAGGGCGGGGAACCTGTTTTGAGTCAGGGATCAGTGACCCACCGAAAAGTCAGCTGGGGCCACAGCAGTGAGATCTGAGTCAGGGGTCACTGATCCACAGAAAAGTCAGTTGGGGCCACACAAGTGAGATGCAAAAAAATAACTCCTCTAAAACTCCCCCAAGCCTCACTAATGTGGCCTCAACTGTGCTGGTGGGAGCAGGGGAATATGGTACTGCGGAAGGGTGCCAGTGGGAGTGGGGGTAGGGGCTCCCCCCCCACACACATTCCCCGCAGAGGAAGAAGTTCCGGCACGCTCCTCCTCTGCGAACTCCTACCTCACCCCATGCAGCAAAATCCCAGCATGCCACAGATCTGTGTTGTGGTACCGTGCCGGCTGTTTGGGGGAAGGGAGAGCAGCCAGTGCACTTCCTGAAATCCTAGAAGTGGCGCACAGCTCCAGACTTCCTTCCACCCCGCAGGAAATGGGAAGCCCCAAACCTCTTGTGATCGACTGGTAGAGCCCTCCCAATCAACCAATAGATCAACAGGTTGGTGACCATGGATCTAGGACAAGACTTTCATTTACCTCACCTTCCCTCTCATTTCCACCCTGGCTTTTCCTATGTATGTACAGCCCAACTCCTCACTTGTCAACAGCTTTGAGTTAAGGCTTCTACACCCAAAGCATACTGCAATGAGGAAAGTTGCAAGAGAACAGGAAATGTCAGGGTCAGTCTTACAGCAGCCTGAAAAATCTTAAACTAAAACTTATTCCTCTTTTAAAGGGCACAATTCTACTGTCCGAGAACTAACAGTAGGCTCCCAAATGCAACCTTTTCATTTAAAGATTGATTAAGATGAAGGAGGCTGGTATCTAAAAGCCCCAATTATTTAGTTTCCCAAATAATGGGACCAGTCTCCCTGGCAAAGTGCTGATGCCATCTGCAGGGCTGCCATCTTCCAGTTAGATTAGAACTCAGGCCACACCCCACCCAAGTGGGAGGAGAACAAGTGCCTTCTTCTACATCCATGACAGCAACCACCACTCTTCCAGGGAATGGTTGAACAATTCCAGAGCAAAGGAAATCAAATATATCAGTTTGATTAACTATTTTCACTTTGGATTTCACAGAAGATAAACTGTCTATTGTATGGTGAGAGTCCAACAGTCACTTCACTTTTGCTGCAAAGTGAATATAAATGATCCAGTGAGGAAGAGGAGATGACTGACTTGTTTTGGCCATGTTTGAAACACTAATAAAAATAATTTTCCCTCCCCCTCTTATTAATCGATTGTTTTAAAATGGGGAGCTCCCCCCCCCAGCACTGGCTCCCGCCTCCCCCC